CACACTGGCTCTCTGTGGTTTGTGTGACTCAGTGGTAGAGCCTCTGCTTGGCATGCAGAAGGTCCCAGGTTCAATCCCCGGCATCTCCAGTTAAAAGGTCCAGGCAGGAAGTGATGTGGAAGACCTCAGTGGCTCAGTGGCAGAGCCTCTGCTTGGTATGCAGAAGGTCTCAGGTTCAATCCCCGGCATCTCCAGTTAAAAGGACCAGGCAGGAGGTGATGGGAAAGACCTCAGTGGCTCAAAGGTAGAGCCTCTGCTTGGCACGCAGAAGGTCCCAGGTTCAATCCCCAGCATCTCCAGTTAAAAGGACCAGGCAGGAGGTGATGGGAAAGACCTCAGTGGCTCAAAGGCAGAGCCTCTGCTTGGCATGCAGAAGGTCCCAGGTTCACTCCCTGGCATCTCCAGTTAAAAGGACCAGGCAGGAGGTGATGGGAAAGACCTCAGCCTGAGACCCTGGAGAGCCACTGCCCATCTGAGTGGACAAGACAGACCTTGATGGACTGAGGGTCTGATTCGGTATACGGCAGCTTGATTTGGACTTGGTTCCGTTCCCCCAACCCCCAAGATCTCACCCTGTCTGGTTTGATAAAGGGCTCGCATCTGGGCTTCTCCTGCAAGCCGGAGCTTCCCATGTTTGGGGTCGCTGTCGGAACGGCTCTCGTCTTCCGTTCTCCTCTCCCGCAATGCACCTCCGGAGTCACCTTGCAGCCCCGACTCTCCGCTCCTTTGGTCTGACGTGGAAGCGACGGGTACATTTTGTTTGCTCTGCGCCATACTTACGGCTCCGGTGTTTGTTCAGCATGAATCAAGGATAAATCCTTTGTCAGGCGCTTAAATGCTGCCGTCTGGGGTTGCGTCCGTTCCTCACAAAGCGTCTTTCCATGGGAGAGCTCGGTTCTCGCTGAGGCAGTAACCTGCGTTTGGATTTCCAGACCGCAGGAAGGTGTGTTGGATTTCCAGACCGCAGGAACGTGAGTTCGTGTAGAGGGAATTATCACATGACGCCCCTCTGTACCAAAGAGCTCCCCTGCATATAGAAACCTAGAGTGTCAAGGAGAAGGGTAGGCGAGGGTTCTTTTCCTGTGATACTCTAGTTTTCCGTGTAGAAGCGGTTTTGCATTATGTGGAGGAGGAGGAGAAGAGATTGGATTTACATCCTGCCCTTCACTACCTGAAGGAGTCTCAGAGTGGCTTACAAACTCCTTTCCCTTCCCCTCCCCACAACAGACACCCCTCCCCACAACAGACACCCTGTGAGGTGGGTGGGGCTGAGAGAGCTGCCCTTGAGAGAACAGCTCTGAAAGAACTTGTGAATGACCCAAGGTCACCCCAGCAGCTGCATGTGGAGGAGTGGGGACTCAAACCCGGTTCTCCCAGATTAGAGTTTGCACTCTTAACCACTACACCAAACTGGCTCTCGGGAGCATTCAATGATGTGAGTTCTAGGTTCAAATTCCAGCTCGGCCAACGGAGCTCATTTTGGTGGCTTGAGGCCCAGTCACCTTCCCGCAGGCTAACCTTCCTCACAGAGTCATTGTCTGTCGGGGCAAAATTCAGGAGAGGAGAACGACGTAGACTTCCCTTGGGGAAAGGTGCGATGATATAGGTGGGGGAGAGGGGCACCTTTAAGACCAACAGAGGTTTAGTCAAGGTATGAGTTTTTGTGTGTGCATGCACACTTCCTCAGATACAGTGAAATGGAAGTTACCTGTCCATATATATAGGTAGGCTAATTTGCTGCTCATCCTCTACCTATATGTATGGACTGGTAACTTCCACTTCACTGTACCTGAAGAAGTGTGCATGCTCACGAAAGCTCATACCTCGAATAAACCTTTGTTGGTCTTAAAGGTGCCCCACTGGACTCTACATTTGTTGCACTTCTTCAGACCAACACGGCTGACTACCTGGATATATAGGGGAGGTTGAAAGGGGACATAATTGCTCTCTTGAAGTCTTTGAAGGGCTGTCCCTTAGACGAGAAGGCCAGGTAGCTGTTCCTCTTGGCAGCAGAGGAGAGGACTCGCAAGAATGGGTTTAAGTTAAGGGTGAGAATGTACCGGCTGGATATTAGGGAGAATACTAGTAGTCCAGTAATGGAATGGGATGCCTGGGGAGGTGGTGAGCTCCCTCTCACTGGCAGTCTTCAAGCAGCGGCTGGACAAACCCTTGTCAGGGATGCTCTAGGCTGGTCCTGCATTGAGCAGGGGGTTGGACTAGATGGCCTCTAGCGCCCCTTCGAACTCGATGATGCTGTGATTAGTATTGCACTAGGTAATACATGTGCGTCCCCCCTCCATTCAGAAATGCTATTGTAGAGAAAGCAGTTTACCGCTTCCAAGTATTTTCTTTTAGGGGCCGCGGCGGCTCAGGTTAAGATGCTGAGTTGCAGACCGGAAGGTCGGTAGCTCGACAGTTCGAGACCCGAGTTGCCGCGTAACGGAGTGAGCTCCCGTCCCTGGCCCCAGCTCCTGCCAACCTAGCCGTTCGAAAGCAAAGAAATCGCAAGTCAATAAGCAGGTACCGCTTCGGTGGGAAGGTAACAGGGTTCCGTGCGCCTCGGCGTCTAATCATGCCGGCCACATGACCACAGAGAAGTCTTCGGACAGCGCTGGCTCTTCGGCTTGGAAACGGAGATGAGCACCGCATCCCTAGAGTCGGATTCGGCTGGTTTTCGAGCGAGGGAAACGGTTACCTTTACCTATTTTATTTTGATCTTTTTAAAAGAAACAAACCAACCCGACAACATTTTTCCTCCTCTTGTCTCCACAGTGGGAACGCCTCTGGTTCTTAATCCTCACCTTCACTTTCTTCCTGACGCTCGTCTGGTTTTATTTCTGGTGGGAAGTCCACAATGACTACAATGAAATCAACTGGTAAGTCGTGGGGAACAGTTGTGTGGGGGGGTGGATTTTGTAGTCTTCGGGGAGGTCCAAGCTCCGTCCTGGGCTCTTCTGTCTCTGTCTCTCACTTTTTGTTGGGTATATCTGGGGTTAAATGTTTGTTTATGTTACTCACAGGAAGTCACATGTTTTTCATGTAACCAATGTTCTTTAGCTGTAGAATGCCCGGGAATTTTTTCCTGATCTAGGGATTTGATTGGGACTAAAGTGTCAAGGTGTATTACCATTTTATGGCTTCTCTTCCCGTCTTTGTTTTGGTGTTCTGAAGACTGAAGAAGAGTAGCCATAATCTCTCTCTTCTAGTTTTGTCTTTGTAGAGTAAGGATGTAGCAGATTTTGCTCTGTTGTTATTTTCATCCCAGTTACCCTTCCCCATGCTAGAATTTAGTAAAAACTTTATATTTTAATCACACATGGACTCTGAGTCTGAACTATTTTACTCTGGCTCTGCTGGACCAATCTTATCTCTGCTAAATACAATTTTTTCAATATCTCACGATCACCCAACAAGAGTGCCGTCAAGTCGCCGTTGACTAACTGTGGCCCAGTAGGATTTTCAAAGCAAGAGATGAACAGAATGAATTTTATTGTTACGGCGCTTAGCCAGCAATTAAGAGATGAACAGGGATGCTTTGCCATTTCCTGCCTCTGCGTAGCAACCCTGGACTTCCTTGGTGGTCTCTCATCCAAGTCCTAGCTGGGGGCGACCCTAGATTGCTCTGCCCTTCGACAC